TGTTTTTAATAAGAAAACCTTTATTGACTTATCCATAATATTTTTGTCTTTTCTCTTTTATGATAGTTTATTTTCTGGTTATTGTCCTTCTTAGAATGCCTCAAAGACCTTTTAGGGCTAGATTAGAAGGTTCACCAATATGAAGCGTTTTTAGGCACTAGGGGTAAATTTTTTTTAAAACATTTCTAAATTAGATATTTTTTTTAAGAAAATCCCCAGTTAAATATTTTAATTTTTTTTTGAATTAGGATAAGTCGTATTTGTGAAAGAATTTTATTATTTTAAAATAAAAAAAATAAAGCAGAAGTCGTATTTTAAAACATGATTTTTAAAAATACATAAAAGCATTATTTTAATGAAAAAATATTAATTTAACATATAAAAAAACAAAAGGAAAAAGTCTCAATATGAAACACGTCTTTCCAGTTTCGTGTTTAGAAAACAAAATGTCATGTTTTAAATTATTTTTTATTAATTAAAAAATAAAAAATAATAAAAAGTAAAAGTCGTGTATGTAAAACACGAATTAGTGAAAGTTGAGTTTTACAAACACAACTTATTTATTTTGAAAAAAAAAATAAAATTTATCTATCTGGAGAATTTCCTTTCACTACTAGAAAAGTGTCATTTTCTTGCAAATTTTCCTGAAAAAAAATATTCGCAGAAATTTTTTGCGAATTTTCTTGCAAAAAAAAATTCGCAGAATATTTTTGCGAATTTTCCTGCAAAAAAATATTCGCAGAAATTTTTTGCGAATTTATTTGCGAAAAATAATTTACAGATATTTCTTACAAATTTTGCTACAATTTTAATAATCATAGAAATTTTTTTCCATGGTAAAAATTTGCAGAAAATATTGTAAGAATTTTATTTTGTTTCTTGAAGATTTTCTGGCAAAAATAAATTCGCAAGTAATGTTTACTAAATGGTAGAAAAATTTTGCGAGTAAATTTTCTTGCAAATTTTCCTGCAAATTTTAATCCACAGGAAAATAAAAAAATATATTTAAATTTATAAGTTTAATATTTTAAAAAAACTTCAAGTCTCACATCGATTGAAAATAAAGCAATTAAAGAATATATAAGTTGGGGCAACACTTACCTTACAATTTGATTTATATGGTTGAATGTTAGGCTTATAATCTACAATCTTAGAATTTTAAAGATTATGTATCACATGTTGGAGGCATTGAAAACAAATGCTTCGGATGAATTCATTGTGAGCATTTGAAAGTTGAAAAATTATTGATAGAATTTATAGTAATTTTTTTAATTTTTTTCGTAAAAAATATTCCTGCAAAATTTCTTGCGAAAAAATTCACAAGAAACTTTTATGCGAATTCTCCTGCGAATTTTTTTTGCAGGAAACTTTCTTGCAAATTTTTTTTTGCAGGAAACTTTCCTGCGAATTTTTTTTGCAGGAAATTTCGCAGGAAAATTTCCTGCGAATTTTAAAATTCGCAAAAAAATATTATCCACGAAAGTATTACTCGCAGATAAAATTTTGCAGAAAAATTTGCAGGAACAACGTTTCCTGCGAATTTTTATGAAAAATTCGCAAGAAAAGTCGCATGTAATAAGAGAAATTCTAGTAGTGTTTTAAAAAAAAACTACACTTAAAAAAGTATATAAATACTGTTGAAAACTACTTTATTAAAAATAACTATTTATTTTTAATAAAAAAAATCCTTAAAAAGTTTGTATCTTAATTCAAACAAGGTCACGAGTTGACAAAGTATTGCATGGAACATGCTACTGGTGTTGTTGATATTTACACTCGTCACCTGAGACATTATATGTCAGTTCATGGAGGAGTTGCGTAGGACTCAGTCACGAGGATTCAAATCATTATGCATCATCCGGTGAGTGGTGACTAATATACACACGTGTTAGAAGTTTAAGGAGTCGATATGATTTATGAGAAGAATGGTTTGAGAAAAACTAGGATAAATAGAGAACATAAATCCACCTTTTCGAGAATAATTTTACGTAAATGTAATTTATTTAATAATTTATGTTTTATATTAAATTTTAATAATTTAATTATTTGATTAAATATTTTTAATATATATGTATATACAATTTTTTTAAAAACTTAAAATTATTTAATTAATATTATATTTATTAATTTAAATCAATATATAAAATACTTTTATGATTATTTGATAATTTGAATTAATAAAACATAATATCAAATAATTTTTTAAATATTTTTAAAACTTTGCATACTTAAACTTTGCATTAAATTTTTTAATTTAACAATTACATCATTAAATTTAATATTGAATACGAGTTAATAAATATAATAAGTCTAAGTAAATTTACTATTAAAATAAGAGTTAATCACCTATACACTGTCGGTATAAAGTTTTTTTACACTGACAACCAATTATATCTCTTAATTGTGTCATATTACTGTAAACTTATTTACTTTTAACAGTGATATGACACAATTAAGAATATAATTAGTTACTAGTGTAAATTTTTTTTTTAACAGTATATAGGTGATTAACTCTTAAAATAAATGAATCCCTCCTCGGAATAAAATAATGGATGATTTGTGAAAATAGACATCGAAATGAGTGAGATATTCACATTTGTGTGAATACACTCTTTTAAATATATTATTTTTAATTAATTAAAATTTATTAAAAAATGTAAAAATTGATGGAGCTCACATCATATTGAATAACACTATTCTAATTTTGTGATTTTTAATAAATTATATCTAATAAAAAAATGTATTAAATTAAGGAAATATACGTGCTAATAACGCTTATAATTTTATTTTTAATTTAATAATATATAATTTCTTCTCACTAATTAATCCATATAAAATAAAGTGATATTTTCTGTTATAACTTTATGTTCAAAATGAAAATTGAATTTTTAATATTTAGTTAAAAAATACATTTATCAAATAACTTAAATAACGACTTTTAGTATGACACTTATAATTTTGAACTGTAAAACTTTTACTTGGTTGCATTTTTTTTTGTGTCACTAGCATTTTATCGTTTTGCGAGTTCTGTTAAGCAATTTTATAATTTTCACATTTTTCTATCAACTTTCAAAACTTAATATCTCACCTTCTATAATGTCGTTAGTTGATCGACATAATATTTAATCGATTAAGATGGTTGTTGATTATTGAAGTTTTTTTTTTGGGTCAATAAGGGAGTTAAGACCCCAAAACACTAAACATTAACTTGAAGAATAGCAGAAGAATCTGCAAGTAACAAGCGAAAAATACAGGATGGAGGTGATTCATAAATGAAAACATCCTCCAATGTAGACTCTCTACTTTTAGATAATGCATCAGCAACTAAGTTAGTTTCTCTATTGATATAAGACTAAGAAACTCTGGATAGTTGAGTTGACAAATCTTTTATCTCCCGAACAATATGACAGCAAGGGTGGACCCTTGAACATCCTTCATTGAGTATCTTTATTGCTTCTGATGAATCAGATTCCACCAAGATAACTTGGCCCACATTCCTTTCTAATACTATACGGGTTCCTTGCAATATAGCTTTTAATTCAGCTTCAAGAATAGAGCAGCGTCCAAGTCGTCCATAGAACGCAACAACGAATTCACCATTGGAGTTTCTCACCACTCCACCACACGAGGCCTCTCCATCTCGAGCCACCGCTCCATCACAATTCAGTTTCAGAGTTCCAGTCGAAGGATAGGTCCATTCAGTGTTTCGGTACAAAGATCCTGAGCCTAGATCTTGATTAAAGTCCCTCGAGAGTGTAGGGGCTATGCGAGCTTGTATCTCTGCTACCAACTGATCGGAGGAGATGACCAAGTTTTGAAAAACTGCTCTGTTGCGACGATGCCATAGCGAGTCTAGAGTGATTCCGAACCTGAAGCTCCAGTCTGGTCTCAAGTGTTGGCTTCGGAAGAGATTTTTCAAAAGCCAATTCTCCAAATTGCCCCTAAACGCTTGCATCAAGGCTAACCCTCTACAGGTTTTATTCCACACCTCCTGGGCATACGGACAATCTCTTAGTACATGTAAAGTAGTTTCCATGGCTTGTCTGCACTCACCACATGTGGAGTCAGAAGACATTCCACGCTTTACCCTGCAGAAGTTTGTGAGTAGACTCTCATGAGCTACTCTCCAAAGGAATACGCGAACTCTCTCCGGCCCATGCCATTTCCATATTTGCTTGAAGAGTGGAGATTTGGCCGGTAACATTTGTTGAGCAGCAGTTTCATAGGCTGATTTGATTGTGAACAAGCCATCCGTTGTTGGATTCCAAATAATCTTATCATTGCCAGCACCGTCGGAGGGAGGGGGTCTGCATAGGATTGTTGCTAATAATTCAGCTGGTATCCAATCTTGAATATGTGATAGGTCCCACATTCCAAGCATATTGGTATAGTCTCTTACAGATTTAAAGAGCTCAACAAGAGGTATAAATACTAAAGCACTTTGAATTAGAGGAGGAGAATTCGGAATCCACTTATCATACTAGAATTTAATCATGCGTCCATTCCCCAGTTGCCAGCCAACGTTATAAATAACCAGATTCCATGCACCATTAATACCATGCCAAAGATTTGACATATTTGATTTCTTCACAACTTTTGGAATAATTTCATTAGAGCATTTGTATTTAGCTTTAACAACCCTTACCCATAGTTTTGGAGGTTTCGTAATCAAACTCCAGCAGTTCTTCATCATGAATGAAGTGTTGACATCACGCATGCGTCTCAAGCCAAGCCCACTGTAACAAGTCCCACATCGGGGAGGTCTCCTCACCAAGGAGGCTCCTTATAAGGCAGGAGGTTCTCCAACTTCTTAGGCCGACTTTTGAGGGATGGTTCCCCTCCTTAGTCTTATGCTCGTTACACCCACCATATTCCTTTGGATAACAAAGGGTCCCCCAGCCAACAACATGGCATTTCTTTTGAACCTGGTTAGCTCCCGAAAGAAAGTTGCGACAAATTCGATCAATCTCATCACATAATAGATGAGGAAGCTGGACTGTCTACATTGTGAAGGAAGGAAGTGCTGCAAGGACAGATTTGGTGAGCGTAAGTCTTCCCGCGAAAGAGAGATTTCTAGCCTTCCAACCACTTAGTCTCTGGATCATTTTTTTTATAATGTCCTGGTAGGAGGACCTATTAACTCGTGAGTGATGTGCCAGAATTCCTAAGTACTTTCCCAAGTTCCCCGTTTGTTGAAATCCCAAGGCTGCACTAATACTTTCCCTAACAGAGAAACTCACATTCTTTGAAAAGAAAACCCGGGTCTTGTCTAAGCTAACTTTTTGACCTAAAAAAGATCGCTTGAAGGCCGTCAGGCCCAGGAGCTTTAAAACCTTCATCTGTTTGACTGCCTGTAGAATTTCTGCATCACATATTGGACTTCCGATCTCTAATAACTCCTCATTTTCAAGTTGAGGAAAAGCATTAGAGAGAGTGAAGGCAGCTGAATCTCGAGCTTTAGAAAATAAGGCTTTATAGAAGCTAGTAACCATATTTTCTAGATCATCTGTTTGTGTAATCCAGTTATTATTATCATCCATCAACTTATTTATCTTGCTTTTCCTTCGCCGTACAATCGTTGTTCCATGGAAGTAACTCGTGTTTCTATCTCCAAATTTTAACCATTTGCAACGAGATTTTTGATACCAGAGTATCTCTTCTTGTCTTAGGATTTGGTCTAGTTCAGACCATAGCTTCACTTGTAGTCGCTCCAGAAAGGTGTTAGGTCCTTGTAACAGGTTACGTGGAATTCCATTAAGCCGTCGAAGCAGGCGTCTTTTATTAAAAAATATGTTTCCAAATGTATTTCTATTCCATTCCAGCAATGTCTTTACAGTATGGTCTATTCTGTTGTTCCAGTCATGATGAGTGTTCCATTCTTGGTGAAGAAATGCTGGGAATGATTCATGAGTCAGCCAAGCAGCTTCAAAACGAAATGGTTTACTGCCCCTTCTTGTGTGACTTGAAGACAAGAATTTGAGCAGTAAAGGTGCATGGTCAGACTTCAGTGGGTTTAGATGGGTAAGGAATGCATCTGGGAACATGATGCGCCACTCATAAAAGGCAAGCGATCTGTCTAATCATTCAAAAACAGAACCCCTACGCCATGTGAATGGAGGAGATCCATTGTACCCTATATCCATCAAATGACAACGGTTGACAAAATCTTTAAAAGCATTATCTCCTCTAATACAAGCATTACTAGATCCTCCAGATCTCTCGTGCTGCCTCAAGACCGCATTAAAGTCTCCCATTAGATGCCAAGGACCATCAATAGAATTGGCCAAGCGACAGAATTCACCCCAAAGAGTCATACGACCTTGGGGTTGAGGACTCACATACACAAACGTACAATACCAAGATGACGACCCACTAAGAATCTTGAGATGAATATATTGAGAGTTGTGTTCCAGAACTTCAATCTGCCAAAACTGGGAATTCCACATGCACCATATTCCACTAGCATGTCCATTTGCATGCACCAAAAAGGATTTGTCTAAAGAGATCCTACGTGTCACGTGAAGAGCTCGGTCACCGCTAATATGAGTCTCCATAATGTCATGTTAATAAATATTAAATTACATATTTTTTCACTAATTTTTAAAATTTTATGGTCATTCAAAATTAGTTACTAAAGTTATATTATATTATATAAAAATAAAATATTCATTAATATGAATGTAATATTATTAACATTAAACTTTACATTAATTTTTTTTTCTTCATGTATATATAGAATACGTAATGAAATATAATTGTGAGATAAATTAATATTATTATGTTATTTATATTTATTGATTTATATATTTTTTAATTCATTTAAAACTTTTAATTTAATTTTAAATATTTGTTTCATAAACTAATTTGTTGATAATTTATTAATTAAAATAAAATTGGGTCATACTATATATGAAAAATCTACTTATATATTTGTATAATTATTATGTTAATAAGATTAATTATTATATCAATAGTTTTATATTCTTTTTATATCCATATATATAAAACGTATTAAAAATAATTATATTTATATATAAAAGATATACTCCCTCGCTCCCATTCTTGTTATTCAACTCAAATTTTTAAGTTAGTTTGATATTTTTTTAAGACTCAATCATTATGTCTCGAGCATTAATTCTTACTTTACAAAAAATAAAATAAATTAATTAAGTTCAACAAATAAGTGAAATTTATTTGAAGTATGTTTCTAAAACTACAAATAGTCTCTTATTTTTATTTTTGGAATACAAAATGCTTCCAAAAGCATATAAAGTGTTTATTAATCTAGGAGTAGTTTTGAAAACAAAAAGTATTTAAAACATATTTATTAATTTAAAAAAGCACCATTTTTTAATATTGGTAAATTAGTAATTTGATTCATACTGGAGGAAATATTTTATATCATAATTTGATGTTACATATATGAGGAGGGTTATAATAATACTAGTATGTAACTTTTATTAAGTATTACTAAGTATTACACCAATCAATAACTTTATATTAAGTGTGAATTTTGTAAATCTAACCATTAGATTGAAAGTTTATATCACTTCATATGTTTATATCAAATTTTGTTAAAATTGAACAACTTGAAAGTAATCAAAATGTTCATATTTTAGCATATTTTGAAATGAATATATTATGTCAATTTTGTTTTATAAGAATGAAATATCAAATCATTTAGGATTAACATAACATTTTGTATATATATATATAATTTAAGGGTAAAAAAATTCAATCTAATAGTTTATAAAATTCACATTTAATATAAAGTTATTGAATGGTATAATACTTAGTAAAAGTTATACTGGTATCATTATAATTCTCCTTTACATATATTATAGAGTAAAATACACTTATTTAAGAGTATGTTTAATTTCTCCAAAATTTTGAAATATAAATTTGGGCTTTTGGATACATGAAATGTAAAAGTAATGAGACCCTAAACCCTGGTGCCAAGTTTGGATGTGGTTTATATTATAATTAACTTTTTTTTTTTCAATTGACACACGAAATATACATCTATAATGAGAGAGTGCAATTGCCTTCTATTTAACTAGCTAGTTTTTTTTTTTTTCCTTCTTCTTCAGTTTATCCTTTAATTGATACACGTATAATTTGAAAGAGGATAAGGAGTTATAATATAATTGAAGAATTAAGTTGTCTAAGAAAAATGGTACACCATTTTTTTTATACAATATTATAGATTATAAATTATTAATTTATAGACAAATTTTAAAAACATCTAAAAATACAGGAAAGAGGTAACAAGGAAAGACTTTGTTCCCCCTACTCCCTCTATAGTCTATCACTACAAAAAAATGAGTGATTTGTGGCGGTTATTTTAGCGGTTTCTGGTAGTTCAAAACCGCCACAAATGGAATTACCGGCGTCATTAATAATCGCCGGATCTACGGTCGCTAAAAACCGTTTGTGGCGGATATTTTGTAAACGCTGGTTTTGAGCGCCAGAAAAATCAATCTCTTTGTGGCGGTTTCAAACCGTCACAAAATTCATTTTTGTTTGACTTGTTTGGAATTTTGTGGCGGTTTAAAAACGCCCCCAAAATTATTTAAAATTTTTTTTGCGGTTTAAAACCGCCACAAAATTCATCTAAATTTTGCTTAATTCATCATTTCTAGCGATTTTAAACGCCCAGAAACTGTAAAACAAGTAACATTAAAATTCATTTTGTGGAAGAACATGGTGTCTATGTTATGCAAGGTCTAGTTTTTCTCAACAACACTCAGTCTATTATATATAATTGAAACAATTGCAAACTTTATAATAAAGTCAAGTCAGTGCTGAGTTTTTGAAAATGCAATGTTCGAAATGGCTACAAAATAATAAAGCTAGTTCCAAAAAAAAAAAGAAAATTAGAGGACTCCATCATCAAACAAAGACTAAGAAACACTGCAAATATGCATTGAGTTGAGAATTAGGTAAGAAGCTATACATCTATACTTTTTAATGTATAAAGCTATTAGAAATTATGATAATCATGGGATTCATTCTCTTTGGTGAAATATCTCAACGGGTTTCACCCGCCCTCTAATTAATAACTAGATCTAGAATTGTGTGACTATTAAAGTTGGTCTTAATATAATAAATTTACTAAATTAATCACCAACTACAATTTTCAAACAAATATTTACCGCTACCTAACTTGTCCCACATCATTTACCAAGTCTTGCACCAACCCCATGCACACACTCCAGCTGCATGACCACTTAAGTGACACGTCATAGGTATTGTGACAGTAAATTAAGACCGACATGGTTGCCCTGTGAGAGGTGTCATTGCAAGCTTCTTCCACGTGTACGTTATGATACATAGCAGCCAACGACTTGCTGCATGTTTATGAGTATAGACCGTGCACACGTAGAGCCTTCCACATGTTCAATAGAAACTGAGATCTTGCTTCAGCTATATACTCCATCCACTTCCATTAAACTCATGATTACCATCTCATCCTCATCCTTCACCACTAGCACCAACATATCATCGTCCTTATAGAGGACGTGTCAACCGAGTGTCCACCCGTCCATGATACCTCAGGACCAAAGGAATCCAACCAGCAGTAACCCAAAAAATCCCCCAACCCCCCACTCCACCCACCTCCAACAACACATCATCCGACACCTCTATAAACTGCCAAAATGACTATCACTGTTATTCACTAATACAAAATAGATATTTTACATCTATTATTTTAGGATTTTTACGTCATAAAATGGATCAACATTAATGCAGAAGACGTAAATTTACGTCAATTGAGTTAATTGACGTAAATTTTTGAATCTAGAGCAACAACGTTATTTTTTGTGCCAGATCTTAATGACAATGTTGTGTTGAAGTGACATGTATCAACGTGTGGGGATTGTGCGGGTCGTGGCGAGCTTTGCGGCTTCACCGGAGACACGAGTCTTCAAGTTGGATGCTTAAACAATGAAACTTAAACTTGAACTCTTTCAACCCAGCACGATTCATACACAATGGAAGGAAGAAACTCTAAACTCATTCATATATATACTAACCTCAAATCGTCCAAAACCTAGAAAATGCCCAATCCAATCGGTCAGAAAGATCTAGAATCACCCACAAATGTCGAGAAGTCGTTTTCCGGAAAGCACAATGACCGAAAACGCCCACACATAGTTGACAAACCCTCGCCAGAAATCGCACCACGAATAAAAAGCTTCCTCTGTTGTGTGAACCTCGCGCGCGAAGAAAACGAAGGTACTGGAGGGGAAATAAAAAGCTTTTTTATGTTAGACTACACTAGGGATGACGTAAATTTCAAAATCTACGTCGAACATTAGCCACATCTAACGCAGATTTTGAAATTTTCCTCGGCCCCAATGTAGTCTAATGTAAAAAGTTTGCTTTATTTTCAAAATTGCCACCGCGTCTTTTTTATGTTGGATATTTTTATATTTGACAAGAAAACGCTGACGTAGATTTTATATTTTGCACTAGTGATTAGAGGATCATTACTCATGTATATAGAGGCCCGAATTTGATTGCCACTAAGTAAAGGAATAAGAGAATGAGTTATTCAAGGTTGCCAACCACGACCATAAGAATAACAATACTTGTTGTATCAGCTTCTGTTCATCAAAGATCCCTTGTTTGAAAACGCATCCATTCCTCATTTCCCATGTACACCAACTCATAGCAACCCAAAATACCCTTCATCTTTGTGTTTGCTCTTTGGAAGATATTATGGAGGGTGGAACCAAGAAGTTGGAAAATGCATAGTGGCATAAAGGTGTCAGACTCGCCAACAACTCCAGCCACTTTTTCCACACACTGTCCACATGCCTGCATACAAAATGGGCAACGTCGTTGATCAATCTCTAGTGCCACATTTTTATTCAGTAGACACTAGTACAAAAGAGGTGTACTACGTCAGACATTTTCAGCTTTTTACGTCAGAAAACATACCAACGTAGAAGCGGGAGATGTAAATTTTACGTCGGATCTGCAAAACCGACGTAAATTTACGTCGGACATTACGACATTCGACGTAAAAAAGTAGGAA